GAGTGATGTCAAAACTGTAAGGAAACAAACGAATGTATGTTTTTATTTCGTGCGGTCCATAAACAACTTTCACCAAAACAACAACAGAATCTTTGACTAATGCTTTTTAGAAAGTCATATTAGATCTAAAGAACAAACAGACTGGTATATCTTTACATCAAATTTCTGGACGCACTAAATCACTTGCTACTAATATTTCAGTATTTACGACTTGGCTAATTTCAATAAATTTATATCTGCTGGACATCAAAGGACAACTCATCATAATAGAAACAATAGTCGCGTTTTTGTTATTTTCATTTGTTGTCGGATATTTCTTTATGAAACAATTTCTTTGTTGAGCAAAAATTTCCACCTTAACTTATTTTGTTTAATTGTATCTAATACTTTGACAAGTCTTTCACTTAAATAATGTATCATTTGTCTTACTGAACTTGCTGTTAGCTACGTTTCATGAAATTCACAAATTGTAAGAAGTGAATAATGTTATTTTCCAACTGATAAAGGTTTCTCAACTTCATGTAGCTGATAACATCGCCGAGTAGACAGACCCTCTTCACGAATGTCTGTAAAGTTTAAAAATTACTCATTATTTTTAAAGCAAACAGTTGCTGTCAGATCATGAAGACAAAAGCAGCAACGTGACAATTTATTGGGAATCTACAAATAAGTTTTCCGGTACTGTCTGTAAACTATGAATGTTGACTCAGTTTTTAGAGAAGAGGGCTTAAAATCCTCCAATATTTTTATTTTGATATCAAATTACATCATCCGACACTTCATTTCTATCTTTCGACTGCAAAACTTGCAATGTATGTTTACTCTTATCACATGCTATTTTCTAATCAACATATTGATTTAGATTACCATGGTAGAGTCGATAACAGGAATCCGTCTTGCGATTATATTACAAACATGCATTCATCGCCGTTCGAATAACAGTAAAATGGCAATGACCAAAAGTTTCTAGATTGAAAAAGTTATGAGTGAGGAGGACGATAGAGTTAACCTTAGCTGTCATCTCTTTAAAACTATATCCCGCATGAAATTCGAATGAGTAATGGTATGATCTGTAAATAAAAATGTGTCCAAAGCATACTGTAGCAGTTATGAATGTTTCAGCTTTTGCAGAAAGGAAATTCACATGAACGCCCTTGAATCTATTGTGTTGAAATATGAGTAAAGTCAGTAATTATTTATGCATGATCTGCTTCTTCATACCAACATAAAACAGACCATCAGTATTAGGCTGAATGAAAAGTAGCTGTTATTAGTGAACATGTAGTTATGGCTAATAGAAAATGTAATTCAATCAAAATTGTATGTTTCACAGTAATACAGTCGAATTCATCTGGTTACAGGGCTTGAAAACCACATCCATCTATTAGCTCACTGTTCATATCAACCGAATAAATATTAATAACAGAAGAGAAACGAGTTTCTAATAGAATCAGTGGATTTTGGTGTATTACTATGGAAGTGATGTGGAAAAGTCCACAAGAGTACACTTTCTAAGTTATCACTTTACAAATGATCAACAGTTTAGGTTATGTAGTTAATAATAGAAGTTTCATTTGAGTAGTGAGTTTTGGAATTTCAATGGATAAGATTATGTTTCAATGATAACTTCCAAGCTGATTAGAATGAACTCGAATTGAAATCAACATGATGAGAACGGCAGCAATTATTTAATCAAAATAATGCAAAGAACAAATCAACCACAATGAAGTAAGCTAATCAAATGAATAAAATGAAAGAAAATATATGCGGAAAATACTAGCTACTCATAAGTAGCATACGAAATGTTACAAATTATAAATTTTTATTGCGAAAAGCACTCTTGTTAGCCTCTGACGATAGTTATACGATGAATCACTAGTGAATAGATTTAGTGTTGACAAAATAGCTGAATATCATACGAAGATCAACAATTTATAGGGTAATTATCGGTTGAATTTGTGTTGCATAGAGGTAGATTTATTGTTTGCATGCTTATATTGTGAAAATTCTATAAAATCTCAGACGACTTTCTAAAGTTGATCTATTTGTTGTTTCTACTTATTCCATCAATTCAACAAACCAATAGATTTAACCTCTCAAATGACTGTTCACAAAATTAGTTTAGTGTTTTGCCAAATGCAAATTTGCGTTTTGATTACTGATATTCTGTAAATATCTGAGAAGATTTCCTATTTAAAACTTATCACATCGAGAGTATTATCTCTTTGGTATTATGTGTAAGTTACTTTGGGTGTTTCCACAAATTACTTCCCTTTATTCTTTTTGTGCATTCGTCTTCATGGAAATCATAATGAAACAACTAATTACTATTGAGTAGATATGTCAGGACTTTTTATAAATTGCGACTAATCTCTTATCACAATTGTCAATATGATTGTATTAAAAATAGTGAAAATCTAAGAGTAAATGATCCTGTGTTATTGAATCTAGTATTAGCTATCTAATGTATTGACAACATTTCCATAGTTCACTTTTTGACAGAAAAAGGAGCACATAAATGAAGCATAATATCAATTCACTGAAATGAACGACTTTTAGTCAAGTGGAATTGAGACTGTTTAGCTATTCTGACTGATTTTCAATATCTTTCCAACAATTATTATTAATACATCATAGAAATAAACAAACAAATAGGATTTTTATTACATTCACTTTTATTCAATCAAACTCTCTTGACATACTATTGCTGACTGTTTTCCATGCTTCCCCTCAGATGTTGACGTCTTTGTCGACCACCAGGAGAAAGATAAAGGGTGAGAGTAAGCAACCTTGCCTGACATCGGTCTTTAGTTCGATCGAGTCCTCTATGCTCGATCTGACAATTCAGTCCATCGTAAGGATTCCGTATGATGTTGACTATCTTCGAAAGTATATTGTAACATCGAAGAAGCACAAATAATAGAATTCTGTTCACGTTGTTGAGTGCTTTCTCGATGTTAATGAAGTTGATGCATAGTGTTGGATTAAACTCATTTGGTTGTCTCACAATGATTCATATTGTCTCCTGTGATCGATTCTTGCGGAGTATAGCCAGTTGGTCTTAAATTCGTGTCTTTTGAATATCTCTTTCGGTTTAACCACACGCTGTTGAAGACTTTTCTTCGGATTGAGAGAAGAGTGATGTCCTTGTAGTTCTCGCAATTTCTGAGATTTTCATTCTTTAGTATCTTGATGAGGTGCACTTCTTTCCAGTTTTTTGGTACTTGTTCTCCATCCCAAACCTGAGAGAACAGAGCGTGAAACATAAACTGCAGTTACTGTTAGGTTTACTCTTAGTGCATCAGCTGGAATGTTTTCTGTTCGCGCTCTTGATGGTCATGCTGATCCCTCCAATTATTGTTGGTCGACATCAATTGGGAGGTCCGTAGGTACTGCTTTGATTAGTCCAGTGGTGTTGGTCAATTCAAGTTGCTCTACCCACCTGTCGCACTATTCTTGAATGACGGTGATTACATTGCCTTCCTTAAATATACTGGTCATTCCGGTTTACCATATTTTCCGGAAACCTTCTTCACTGTATCGTATATTTATCGCATATTTCCTTCACTTTCAGCTTTTCCTGTTATCATCCATCCATGTATTAGCGTTTGTCAACTATGACGTTCCTCCTCAATCCCTTGTTTGCTTCTGTGTATTCAACCTGTGCTTTTGCATTCTTTACCCTTGTTCGAGTGAGTGCTGCCTTCTTTTTCGGATCCTATCCAGACTATCGACAGAGATCCAATTCTTGTAACGGTGTTTCTGGCAGACCAAAACCTCATGACATGATGAAATAGTTGATTCCTTGATCGAGTTCCTGTTGTTCTCCAGGCTAGTTTTCTCTCCATTGAGTAGATCGTGAAAGACATAGAACTAATTGTTGAGTTTTCCAGTATCTTTAAGAAAGGAAGTGATGCTGTTCAGCCAGTTGTCCAGTGCTTCTCGTGTTTCAGTTTCATCTTGACCGCAACCAAGTGATGATCTAAAGCTATGTTAGCCCTTTTGTTTGCTTTAACGACCTCCATGGTCCTTCTGATTTGTAGACGTCGGTTTGCTGTAGTGTGATCCGATGAAACCCATATGTGTATGTATTTGTGTGGGGATATGCTGCCACCGATGACCAATTTATTGAAGGCACATGGGTTTGCTGATCGCTTACCATTTTCGTTCCTTTCTTCCAGTTCATGTAGTCTTCATGTCCAGTATTGTCCACTCCAAACTTGACGTCTAGGTCTCCGATCACAAAATTCAAATCCTTTGTTGGGCATTTCTCGACTGCAGCCTTCCATGGATTTGACCTTTTTCGTCTTCAATGTTACCGTTGGAGGGCTTATAGCTTTAAACGATATTGATCGTGATCCCCTTTCTTTGTTTTGGAGAAGGCTTTGATGATGCTGGGTCCATGAGATTCCCATCATTTAAGTGCAACTCATTCGGTATGTGAGGCATTTTTTCTTCATGGTCGAAGTAAAACAACAGCTCTCCTGAAGCTAGTCTTTTTTGTCCAATCTGCGTTCAACGTGTTTCACTGATTTCAAGCAACACCAAGCTGTATCCTTTAATTTGAATTGATCTGCCACATTGTGAGAATATTCCATGCACCTATATTAATTGTTGCTGTTTTTGAGACGGGGTAGCAGGCTTATGAATTCCAAGGTAATTCAGATCTTATCATGTGTCATAACTCTTCTAAACCAAGACCTTTTAACCCACACGGCAGAATTCATATGGTTTGGATTATTTGCTCAAGTTAGCGTTTTTCTAGAGAGTTGGTTTATTATCCCATTCCCAAAACTCCAGGCAGAGTAGCCTGCATAATATATGCATACATAGTGGTCGTTTTTAGCTCTATCTACTGAAGATTAAGTTTAATAAAATTAAAAATGTTTATTTTCTTTGTCAGTTATCTGCTTTCTCTCTCTTTTTCTTTGTAGACCATTTACCTGTGTAAGTTTCTATGACTCTCCTGATTGTGTCATTAATAAAAAGTGTTTTAAGCCTTTAATTACTTTGCTTCGCTATTACCATGTTAATCAAGAATAATAATTATTATCATGGAGAAAGAGAAAACACATATATATTTGCTATTGTACAGCTTTGAAAAAGAACTCTTCTCTGAACCAATTTTTCTTGTTGTATGTCCCAATCGATATATTTAGCTTGTTATAAAACAAATATTAAGATCCGTTGTATTGTTTCATAAAATGATTTCCTACTACTACTACTACTACTACTACCACTGCTTACATGGTACGGAAAAATACTAGTGTGATATCAATAAGGTTAGCAAAAATGTTTAAAATAACTTTTTAACGTATTGAGAGAAGCAAAAACCAGTTTAAAAAGTTTCTATAAAAAAAAAATGTGTTGATAAACATTCATAAGAACATAGGATGAAGTTACAACTCTTTAGTTTCTAATACCTTCAAATATACAATGATCTTGTAATAAAATAATTTGGTTTTTATTGGTTTGTTTTAGGAATTAGAAAGGAACTCTGTCCATCAATAGAATCGTTTCATTTGCCTTTGACGCTTCTTATAGTATTTATAACCCATATATCCACTGCCACCGAGAAATCCAAGGATGAATAACCAAGAAAATAGACTAAATACACGACCAAAAGTTGTTGGTGGAGTATCATCAACTCGAGCTGGAAAAAAAAAATGCGATTAACTTAATTAAACTTATTACTTGGAAGTGATGTTTTCAATGCAGAATCTTTATATTATACCAATTATGATTATAATAAACAGATTTGACAAAAAAAAGTAGCAGATTGTATTCAACATAGCCTATAGTAGTTTGACGTATAAAATATCAATTCAACTACAAACAAACTGCATAGTTAGGTTAACTAGATTTTGATAAATGTAACTGGAAATCTTATTTAAGATGAATATGTGACAAACTTACTCTTTTTTTCGTTCATCGTATTATTCAAATTCATCAAATGGACAAATTATTTTAATTTACAAATTTTATTGATGCATATCTCAGAGTACAAAACATACATACTGCTGTTGGTGTTATTATTATTATTATTGATTTCTTCGAATAGATAAGATGTGAAATGTTGCACTAACATTTTCTTTACCGAACACTACTATTTTAAAATTGGCAATCAGAGATTTAAGTGCTTGTAATTCGTTATTAACCAGACACAACAATTCAATATTCTATTATCTTTTTAGGGTTTAATTTTAATGAAAAACAACCAAGGATTATCAACAACTGATTTGCAGGCTTATACAATTGACTAATATATGAGAATTCAGCAAATGGAAAAATATTTTCCATTGCAATTTGTATTGACTAGATAACTACTGATGAAATTAAAAAGTGAACAGGCAGATTTAATTTGTAATACAAAGCTAGTGAGCGCAAATATTAACAACAGAGGTGATCTCAAAAGACACTCAAAGGGAATGAGAAGTTTTTTAACCTTTTTCAGTGTATTAGAAAGCAGATTTTTGAATGAATGACTTACAATGTAAAATGTCTTCATTTCAAAGACGGATTAAACCTAATCCATGAATTCCGGTTTAGGATTAAAGTATGTGTAGGTTAAATGTAAAACCTAATCCTCACCTTAAGTATTAACTGATGTTTACATTTTTGAAAACTAAGTGTGCACGTTTGAAAGAAAACTTCTTAATTTGATTTATCCACTGCGACTGGTGTGTGCTTTTGCATTTATTATCCAACTTACTGACACATTGACTTAGCTAAAGTCGTGTTTGGAATCTCATGAGAACGAAGGTGAGTACTAACAACTGGATCTCAAATAACAAAAAAGTAACTATCACTGTTGATCAATTTTAATCGATTCTTGATAAACATCAGTTTATCATTAGGGCAACATGAATCACAGCATTTATTTCAAACCAGCTAATTTAAAAACGCAAATACTAACAGCATAGAACATTCATCTCCGCATATATCCGTCAATGTGACGTTGATGCAGTATTGAATGAATATATTATGTTCATTGAGATAATTTTAACTGAAGAGCACTTATCAAAATTAAATAGCAGTACGAAAAGATGTTTTATAAAAACTTCATTCAATAGAACACTTAAAACTATAGAATTATGCTTTAAAATTACGCACTAATTTTGGGGTCAGTCAGACAACATGGATTTAGACTGATACGAAAGATGTTTTAATATGAAATAGTAATGACACTTAGTATTGTTCAATGACAATTTATTTAATGAAACTAAACGATATAAACATAAAACTGTGTATATGTCTACCTCAAAAATAACCTTTGCTTAATATTGTTTACACAGTACACAATCAATACAAATCATTAAAAGGCATCCATTATGTGTGCACTGAAAAAAAAATCATTCTGAACAATTTTTCGGTTGAGATCGAAACTCTCTATGCAATGTGTATAAAGTTAGACTTGTGCACTCTACATCCATTACTGGAAATAAATAATTAACAGAGAATAATGAACAAAAAGCTAAAAAAATATTGACTAATTTCTACATAATTTCTAAAAAAAAATAAACTTATCACATTTCAGACTTAACACAATTTATGCACACAACAGCACATAAATGTTTACCTAGAAACGTAGTTTTTTTTTCAGTTTAGACACTGAATCCATATACAAAATAATGCACAATTTAGTAGGTAATGACCCATAAACAAATTACTTTACCTATTTAAGGCTACTAATTTAAACTGGTTGTTCAGTGAGATCAATACAAGTTATGATTTTATGAAAGTGTAGATGATTTAATGTCTGAAGTTTTATATACTTCGTCGTATTTAGGATTATTAAAAGCACAGACAACTGTTTTAATTTGACAATAAGTTAGATTCTAGGGTACGTGATAGAAGTAGTCTATTACAGAAAATTTATTCCCTTACTATCTAATAATTATTAAGATTTACTAGATGAACACAGAATATTCAACTTTTATTTTGATGCTGTGAGGAGAGAAAACTTACAAACGAATATCAAAGATAAGAGAACATAGATGCATCTCGAAAAGCAACACGATGGGAAACAACTCAATAAACGAAAAAATTAATAAATTTTCATTTTTTCGAAACCATGCAGGTTAAAAAAAATATTTAAATTTATTTGTCGAAATAAACCACTCAATACTCTAGTTTAATTCCTTAGTTCGAAAGTTGTTTAAGGTTCCAGGTATCGCTGGATATTAAACATTTCGATCTAAAATATCAATCAACTACTTGTTATTTTGACTTCTTTTAAAATTACATTATTTTATCGACGCCACGAATAGACTACTCTTTCGAGTGCCAAATACTTCATTAGAACAACAACAAACCTACATAACATAAGTCAACAACTAATGGTGGTCTAACAATGATTGATTGATGATTTCAATAATCTCCATAAATCTAATTAAAAATCGTAAAATGAGCTCACTATTAATTGGCTTCGTAAGGAAATTCTCGGAGTTCTAGTGAGAAGGCGTGACCAGTGGAGTTCAACCCCATCAGGTGTAGGCAGTAACTACGAAAAACAAGTGGGTGAGGTCGCACAAAATCTCTAGATCAATCAGAGTAAGATATTAACACCTTTGGATGCCGGCCCAGTGGTCCGGCAAGACTGAAGGTCACGGGTTCGAATCCTGCAAAGTGCAGCAGTCGTGGATGTGCACTGCTGATGAGTCCCATACTGGGACGAAACGGCCGTCCAGTACTTCCAGGTTTCTAATGGTAGTCTAACAATGATTGATTGGTGATTTAAAATGTGTAAAAACACTAATCCCTGTAATTCTAATTGAAAGGAAAACATTGTCAAACAAAATGATATAGGGAAATTAATATTGACATACTTCTTGGTGCAGCCTCCTGATCAGCTGATGGCTCAATTTTAGAAAAGTCAGCGAACGGATTATCCTGCAAAAGAAATAAATATCAAAACTAGTAGTAACAGTAAGTTGACGATTATTATATCCAATTGAAAGGTTAGTTAATACCACGTTAATGATACCAGTTAGTTGCAAATGATAGCAGTGCTGTCAAATTATATCTACCTTCTCCCAACAGTTTAAATCAACAAGTAAATTACTGAGCAAATCAGAAACACTGTTTACTTAGAGCAATTATTCCACCACAGAAGATCATTTTCAGAGAAACCAGTAATAACCTCCACATAGTGAACTGAAAGTTGCATTGTTTTTAAAAATAAAAATGTCAAAACAATTAAACGATCCACAACAAAGACACTGCATACTCCGTTAGATATACATGAAAAGCAAGTTAAAGATCAATTCTACTAAAGGCTGCAGTCAATCATCGAGAAATGTTAACCAAAGCATTTGACGATTCTTATGGGAGACTTGAATGCCAAGGTTGTAATGGACAACACTGAATATGAAGACGTCATGGGACGACATAGACTGGGAGAAAGGAAAGAAAATGGTGAGAGATTTGCAAACCTATGTGCCTTCAACAAACTGGTCATCGGCGGCACAATATTCCCACACATACGCATACACAAATGTACATGGATTTCACCGGATCACACCGCTCACAACCAAATCGACTACATATGTATTAATAAAAAGTTCAGAAGGACCATGGAGGACATGATAACCACGAGATGAGCTGATATAGCCTCAGATTACCAATCGCTGTTCGCCAAAATGAAACTGAGACTCAAGAAACACTGGGAAACGGGGCAGACGAAATCACAAACATTTATTACAGCCTTTCTTCGGGATACTGGAAAGCTCAACAAATTCAAAATAACCCTCAGCAATAGGTTCCAGGCCTTGCACGATCTACTCAATGGAGAAGAAACAACTTTGGAGAACAATTGGAAAGGGATCAAGGAGGCAATCACTTCAACAAGTCAGGACGTTCTGGGCCACATGAAGAACCATCACAAGGAATAGATCTCTGTTTGCATATTATTGATAAAATTCAAGAAAGGAGGAACAAGAAGGCAGTAATCAACATTTGAAGAACAAGAGCAGAGAGAGTCAAGGCACAAGCTGGATACACAGAAGTAAAACAGGCAAGCCGACAAACAAAAAGATGTGGAAGATCTAGCGATGACAGAGGAAAAGGCATCAAGAGGTGGGAACTTGAGACAACTGTACGATACAACAAAGAAGCTCGCTGGAAACTATGGTGAACCAGAGCGAGCAGTGAAAAATAAGGAAGGCAAAGTAATCAACAATGAAGAACAGCGAAACAGGTGGGTAGAGCGCTTTCAGGAAATCTTGAATCAACCAGCCTCACTGAACCCACCCAAAATCAAAGCAGCATCCATGGACTTCCCAATCGATGTTGGCCCACCGACAATTGAAGAGATCATCATGGCCATCAGACAAATCAAGAGCAGCAAAGCAACAGGACCAGACGAGATTCCAGCAGAGGCAATGAAAGTAGACGTCGAAGCAACTGCAAAAACATTTCACATTCCCTTCAACAAGATTTGGGATGAAGAACAAGTACAACCAGAAGGATACCTTATCAAAATACCAAAGAAAGGCAATCTCAGCAAGTGTGAGAACTACAGAGGCATTACTCTTCCCTCAATAGCAGGTAATGTCTTCAACAGGGTATTGTTAAACAGAATGAAGGACTTCGTAGACGACCAACTTTGAGATCAATAGGCTAGATTTCATAAGTATCGATCGTGTACTGACAAAATTGCAACATTACGGATCATTGTGGAACAATCGATCGAATGGAACTCACCACTCTAAATCAAATTCATTGACTACAAGAAAGCATTCGATAGCGTGGACAGGAAAACACTATGGAGGCTTCTTCGACACTGCGGCGAGTCTGAGAAGATAGTCAACATTATATGGAATTCTTTTGATGGATTAAACTGGAATATTGTGCACAGAGGTCAGCTGACAGACTCGTTCGAGATGAAGACCGGTGTCAGGCAAGGTTGCTTACTCTCATCCTTTCACTTTCTCCTGGTGATCGATTGGTTTATGAAGACGGCAACATCTAGAGAGAATCACAGCATCTGATGGACAGTTAGGATGCAGCTTGACCATCTGGACTTCGCAGGTGATCTGACTCTTCCATCGCACACCCAACAACAAATGCAAGGAAAGATGACCAGTGTAGCAGCAGACACGGCAGCATCAGGCATCGACAAACACAAAGGGAAAAGCAAGACTCTACGATACAACACAACAGAAACCAATCAAATCACTCCTGATAGACACACCTTGGAGGACGTTAACACCTTCATACATGTGGGCGGCATCATCGACAATCAATGTAGATCCGACAGATGTGAGGGCGACGATCGGCAAATTAAGGGCTGCATTTCTACAATTGAAAAATATCTGGAACTCCAAACAAATAACAATCAACACCTAAATTAGGATTTTCAATACAAATGTCAAAACAGTTCTACTGTATGGAAGGGAAACTTGGAGAACTACGAAAGTCATCATCCAAAAGATAGAAATATTCATTAACACTTCGGATTCGTTGGGCAGAAACCATCAGCAACAACCAACTGTGGGAGAGAACAAAGCAGATTCCAGTGGAGGAGGAAATCAGGAAGAAGCGGTGGAAGTGGATAGGACACACACTACGAAAAGCACAAGACAAGCCTTCACATGGAACCCTCAAGGTTAAAGGAAAAGAAGAAGATCAAGAAACACATTACATCGAAAAATAGAGAAAGACGTGAGTAGAATAAACGAAACTTGGACATAACCGGAAAGGGAAGCCCATGACAGAGTTGGTTGGAAAAAACTGGTGGGCGGCCTATGCTCCATTGGGGGTAACAGGCGTAAGTAATAAATTGCTAGTTATATAACAAGAATGATTGCTACTTAAATGAATGATTCAACAAAGGAAGTAGATCAGAATAAGCATTTAAGTAGTAGGAGTAGTAGTTTAAAGAATCAACCTCATGAGTTTCATCAACAATCATGTGTTGGTGGTATGACAGAATTTCATCACGGTTCGGCGAGCTTGTCTAACGTTTATCAACTTCCTTTATTTGTGGTGTGGACGAGACGTCGGTTTTGAAAAACGACGAGATTACAGTGCAGCAGTTTGTCGTTGTCTATTTAATAGATGTGCAGCGTAACCCTTAAAAATAAAGGATACTTTTAGAGTATTAGTATTCAATCGGACACACATTTCATTGATTGCATGGATATTTTGGGACTACTAGGAGAGCACTGCTGAGGTAAGATGCAAAGCATATGGCAATATTGGCAAGTCGGTTGATGAGGGGGTGAACCTTCGGTTCGGAACGTGTGTTGTTTATCGTTAACCACATCATACTTAAATAAGAGATTGGGTTTGGAGAAAGCTAGGGACAGCCAGAATAAGTAGTGAGTATCAAATCATGAATTTACCGTAAGTTAAGTCGGATCGTGTTAGTAGGCTCAAGCTACATGTTTGGGGTCCGCGTGATTATAGTAGTCAATGGTCGGAGACAGTGTGTGTTAAGGTAAGGAACGGGTTGCAATGGAACAAGTGCATCTACTTATTGATTTAACTTAGATCCCGGGCATAGATTTTGTCTTATACCATCTTAGGTTCATGGATTCACGTTCTATTTTTAAGAATCAAATTGTCTATGATTGGTCTTTTCCATCAAGACTGCTGACCTTACTAATTCTACAACTTCGGGATTTGTTGGGCTGATGTGGTGTGTAAACTTAAACTAATCCACATAAGTACCAGGTTTCATGTTGCGTTTTACAGAATGAATACAATGGTTTGGGAAAACTACTGAGCTTTTTAGTTCGTGTTAGAGACTGGTCTTAGTCAAATAATTGTTGAGAACCGAAAATCACTGGACAGTCATCTCAGAAGTGTGCATCTACGATTGTACAGCGATCTAATCTAAGAACTTTAGATCTTGCTGCTGAACCGGCAACTAATGGTTTATATACCCAAACTCCTGATCAATTCGCGATTTTGGGCATCCAACTTTTGATTGATTGTGCAGATATTGAAGACAATATTGTTGGCCTACATCTGTTGTTCTATTGCTAGATATAGCATTTTTAAATAAACCACTTTTATCAGGAGTCACACACACCAAGTACGATACGGAAGACTAAAAAGTAGAAATTCAGCAGGAGTAAACTTTTAGTTGATCAAGCATTATTTCACTTGATAAAAAAGTAAACATAAAACCAAAAACAAAATTCAATTAGTGTATTGTATCATGTAAACAAGGTAAACTATTATCAAAGATATAGTTCATAAATTTACGTGGGACAATAAGAAAACATACAAGATTATACAAATTTGAGCAAATTAACATTAAGTCTATTGTTGAACACTAGGTGATATGATGTGTTGATCATAAACAAAAACCAATCTCAAAAACCAGATTTTGTCAAGTACAAAAACAATATAAATTGTATGATGAAGTGAGATCATTTCAAAACTAAGTTTTTCAAGCATGTATCATTACTATTTTAAAGAAATATAGTTTTACAAGTGCAGTTTATGGAAAGGTGTTTCTGTTTATTTCAATCTTCAAATGAATTATTTGAAACTTTCTATTCACAAATTAGAATATTAGGGTAATAAACTGATCTTATCTTACTATATATAGTTTTTATCTTACAAAATGTACCGATTATGTGAAACTACTTGTTTACAAGTGACATATCACTATACAGAGTTCAACAACACTATCTTAATGGTTGTGCTATGTTTTATATTGCAAATAAAGAGTTTACTTTATTTCATTGTTTGTAGTCAGTACGTAATAAACGATGTATTAAGCTTCATAACACCAAATACTAACCGGATTTCGCTGAATGTTAGAACAGAAATAGACCTTTTATTCATAAAAATCTCAATATCAGTTTTTGATAATCAATACATACTTTAACCCACATCCCTAAATCTGATCACCACAGAGGAAAAATTACCAAGATGAATGGCAAGGGAGTCCTGATTAGAGTAGCATCAATTATAAAGTTATAGTTTGAAAGGAAACAGTGAAAAGGTATTTCACAAAAGGACGCTGAAACTCAAAATCTTCATTTGCTGATCACAGTCAACAAACAAGCATATTATTCGACAAAAACCAACACGGCTCAGTACAACACTTCACAGTTTCATAGAATGCCGCGACGTCTTGGTTCAGTCACCTAGGTTCTTTGCAACCTATTCCTATACAAGCTAATATTGCGCATAGAGTCAGGCGATTGTTGGGCATATGTAATACATGTCCTGGACTTATCAATGAAGATTTACAGCCTAATCAGCTGGTTTGACATATTTTCCTAGCACTCAACCTTTAACCTTATAATTAATTGCTCATTCTGCTCTTTCTATAAATACGAGGAATACTTCATCAAAAAAATAGAACAATAAGTACGTGACGTAGTAAAACAAGTATGCGACAGCAAGATTTTCGATAGATGAAATAAACACTAAACATACTTAATCAAAATTTTCTACTGTTAAATGTTTGAAAATGATCGATAAGAAACTCTAAACTTTGATATTGAGCTTGTCTAAACTCATCTGTTATTGGTGTTCTTTGTGATTTTATGAATGAATGGATAATTATGTCAGATTTAGGTTTCAAAAAGTGGTTTGTGGTGAATGAATCATGTAGTGCTAGTGTATAAATTCCATATTAAATTGACACCATCCAATATCTACCGTTGATTTAATCCAATCAACTCTAAACATACGACAAAAAGTAGTGATTTTAGTATATAGAAGTAAGCAAAGAGAAAACTTTTTTTCGCCTAAACCAATATACAAAAAGCTCCTTGAAGATAACTAGGTGTTGAAAGTTATCTTATCTTAAACAGTATTTATTCCTGACAATAAATTGTGAAACTGACAACCTGACACAACAGTAATGCAGATGGACACTGTTTTGATACGACAAAATAGAAGTCTCGAATCTTTTTACCAGAAATTACGATCAAAATGACAATAATTATATATTCATTTGAGAACACAGATGTAAAAAAACCTTAAAAGTTGACAGAAAAACATGTAAGGTGTGGATTATTTAATTTACTATATATATAATATATATCACAGAATGAGAGACAGATATAAATTTCAATATCCGAACACAATGAACTTACTTTTCGATCAACATTCAGTTCATAAGTATGAATAGAATATATATCGTGATTATCTGAGTAGGAAAAAACAAGATAGAAACAGGATATTAGAAGCACAATAATTACGGTTATCTGAAATGATGAGATACAGGTTGCTTCAGATGAGCTACGTCATACTTATGTAACACCATTTCATGATGATAAAAGCGAAAAGTACACGATATGCATATCTAAAACACTGTGAAATAAATATGACGCTAACATTGCTGGAAAAGAAGACTCAATCAGTTAACCGATAGAATTTACTCCGAGTAACTTTATTTATATGTTATAATATATTTTTTATTTGGAACTGTACTATGGATAATTTTTAGATGAATTAAAGTAACAATAAATATATCTTTAAAAACGGGAACTGTGCAAGGGAAAGTTAATTTGATGACAAACTAATGTTTCATTATCAAAACTATTGAGTTGAAAATAATTAGGGCAAACAATTTTTTTTTAAATTAATGTGAACACATTAACATAGTGTAACGAAAATTCAAATAAAGTCAAGAGATTAAATGAAGTGTTTACACCATAAGTAAAGTATTATAGAACACTAATAGCAATAAAAGACTAAAGGGTTAGAAATAAATAGTTATTTACTGAACACAAATGATAAATAAGTATAAACTAAGCGAGGATCAGTTAATTAAACATTATATTAGTGAGCAACAAAACAGATGGAAACTTTCTCACTTGATTACTCCATTATATCAGTTCTTTTCTAACCCTCTAACACAGTTCTACAATTTTATATTTAATTAACTGAGCTTTATTCATTCTATTGTTATACGTAATTATGTGTATGAAACCAACTAATGCGGTGATTTAATGGTTAAAGCACATGGTTTCCAATCCGGTTTTTAAATGTCGATCAATATACTTTCGTTTTATCAGCCGGATATCATTAAACAAACATTCTGATTAAAGCAAAAACGAGTACAAAAGCTTGCACTTAATAAACGGGTATCAGTCAGATGCAACGTAAACTTCATATGTAAGTACATCAGTTCATGTTGCCATACCACATCAGCAAAGAGATATAATTGTCAATTAAATCCAATAGTAAAAGAGGTAGTAAAGGTATTAGAAGTAATCGGAGAGGTTAGGATAAGAAGATAATCAAGAAAAATGATTCAGTGGGAAAAGTTTAGAAAGTCAAAACTAGAGGGGTTGAATAATCCAGAAGATTAGGATTTGAGAGAACACAAAGTATAAATGCACCGGCGCCACTGCAAACGGTTTTGAGCCATGTCATTCAAGGTCTCTAACCATTGATTATTATCATCTCGCGGACCCCAACCAGGTAGTCGACAATTACCGACATGGCTAAGTCCACTAGTCAATGACTTCATGGATTTCTGCCATGTTTTGGTTTGGCCACCCCTAGCTTTCTTCCAACCTACTCCTACACTACAAAACAAAGCTCGACGAGGCAGTCGGTGGTTAGGCATACGCAGCACATGTCCCAACCACCTCAACTGATGAAGTTTCAATACTTCATCTATTGATCTGCCATTCTTACCTAGCACCCGATTCCTAATAACAGCGTTGCTCACTCGGGTGTCCCATGATATACGAGCAATGCTTCGAAGACACCTGTGATCGAAAACCAGTAACCTACGAATATCTTCTACTCTCACTGGCCATGTTTCACAGCCAAAAAGTAAGACGGAGCGAACTACTGCGCAGTACACTCGTCCTTTAGTCAGCAAACGGATATCTCGCCTACGCCATAAGTGACGCAGGTTGGCAAAAGCCAGTCGAGCTTTCTGTATCCGAGCTGAGATTTCGTCAGTCATCAGGCCATTGGCACTGATGAGACTCCCCAGATAAGTGAAGCGGTCAACATGCTCGACCGCTTCACTCCCTATCATTAGTTCAGGTGCCGATGCAACCCAATCTTGAAGCAACATTTTGCATTTCGAGGGGGAAAACCGCATCCCGAACATGCTTGCATTGTTACTCAGGGTAGTCAGAAGACTGAGTTTTGTCAGCGCCTTCATCGAATAGAACTATGTCACCGGCATATTCTAAGTCAATAAGCGATTTTCCTGGTAGAAGGTCTACTACTGAAAATTCAGACGAGGATAAGGTTATATCTTGGCGCATGTCTATGAAAAAATCAAACAACGGAGAAAGTGGATATAGCTGGCGGATACCACTTGAAGTAGAGGATTCCGACGACAGTTAGCCATAGGCTCTCACCCGACCAGTGGTGTTCGAGTAGAGAGCTTGTATAAGGTCAATATACTTCTTTGGTACACCTTTCAATGACAGACACTGTCACAGGACCTCACGATCCACTGAGTCAAATGCCGCCTTAAGGTGCAGGAAAACAACTATTGTAGGACGCCTGAATGTGTGTCTGTGTTCCAGGACCTGTCGTAGTGTAAATATGTGGTCTATACAACCACGTCCAGGTCGAAAACCAGACTGGTTTTCTCGAGTTTGCTCTTCGCGAGCACTAGTAAGGCGTCTAAGTATTACTGAGGCCAATATTTCAGATACTATATTAGTTAGACTGATTCCCCTGTGATTGTCAAAAGAAGACTTTTAATAAACGGGTATAATTGTCATTGATTATCCTGGGATAACACGTATAGGCCGAACACTGAACACTAGCACTGAAAACATAACCTCAATGAAAGAAGGATTATGTTAAGTTCAATTCTATGATGAGTCATTCTAAATCTCATGTTCACCTCAATCATATAGTACATCAAAATATTTATAATGATCGAGCATGAATCTGAAGAATGCAGTATGTGCTACTCAATTATAACCTAATATGTTATTTGGTGATACGTGACATTTTAGAGTTGAAGATAATATTGTGGTAATTCCATAGTCGAGTTATAAATCAAACCACTTTTTATCTTACATTTTTACTTATTTATATGACTAATTATCTGTTTAGCTTCGCTGTTTGAACAGATTACTTCATACATATAATTGTGAAACGTTTACTTTCGTATATTGCGTAACATGTTATTCTCAAATCATCATTATAGTTTAACTGACTAAAATCAATTGATTTTAACTTGAAATCATGAATGAATCATTGTTAGATCAAAATTAGCAACCTGGAAGCACTGTTTAACAATGATTCATTTATGATTTCGAGGTAAGACTACCATCTTTATAATTCTCTAATGCAAAATCAATTAATTGTAGAACACTCAAAGTTCACCTTTTCCTACGACCTTCACATGCTTCATTAATAAAACAGTAATGAATTCAAGATCTGGTAAGTGATACATTCGATATTAATCTAAGTCATTTCAAATATTGTATATAAAACTAAATAACCCATGTCCAAACAACGTGTACTTTAATTAGACATAAAAAATGGCATGAATACTGATAATCAGTTTTACGTGATTTATTGCTAGGAAGTCCGCAATGTGAATAACAAGGGGTTACAATCTATTGAATTAGATGTTCAATGTCAAAAAAGCCAATCAGTCAAATAGCTTAGAAAAAAATTGAGATTGATTTAAAAAGCTTAGTTTATGCACCAGTCTCAGTAAACTTGACCAAATAACGTAGCAACCCATTAAGTCCCTTTGATGTCAAAAGGTCCTTACAATTTCTAGAAAAACAAACATACCCAGTGAGATATAAAAACAGTGGTTTAGTTGTCAAACTAATCTGTCCTGTTTCTACATATCAGTGCGCATAATCGTTTATCCAGAAAAAAGTTTACACACAGAAATCTGAGAAAAACAGTTAAAATAAATATTCAGTTTCAGTAAATGGAACAATGTTACATTACCTGAAAGGTCACCAGTGGCGGCTGAAACTCCAATATAATAACCAGTAGGTAAATGTACCCCATCAACTGTGAAACAATCTACAGGATCTGTTGCACCTTGATATTTCAAAGAAACCTAAAGATCGAAAAATTCCACACTCAGTAAACAAACTTACTTACCAAGGATTCATTAAAAGAGCATAATTGAAATCATACAATAACGTCAGGTTTTCAGTACAAAAATTAATGCACATATCAACTGGCACGGTTTAGTTTTAATTATTATCCACAGAACTATGGGGATTTTTCGAAACAGGATGATGTGTCTGCTGCTGAAGCTATATATAGTGACTATTAGGCGTTCATATAGTGAGATTCGACTGAACTTATTAATAATGATATGATCTGTAGATAAAACTTCAAACAAATAAGTTAAGTGGGGTACCTTGTTACAATTAATACTGATTTAATCTACTCTAATTTGCCAACATAATTTTTAATGCTACCACTACCACTGCGTAAGTAACCACGAGCACTACGAACAGTCCGTATAACTTTGTATCATAACTCGTTAAATGTGTAGTTTATTAGAACGATCGGATTAGGAAATCACTCTATTTCTTATCGAATATTATTTTCTGTTTCCGATACAATGCAGCACGCACCACCCAAATCACACTTGACGGAAAAGCTTTGGAAGATGTGGAAACGTTTGCATATATGAGCAGAATCATTGACAAACAAGGTGGGTTTGATGCCGAGATAAATACACGGATTAGCAAAGCAAGGGCAGCATTTCTACAATTGATGAACATTTGGAAGTCCAAACAACTGCCAACTAATACCAAAGTCACAATCTTCAATATTAACGTCAACACAGTTTTAATGGATGGAGAGGAAACTTAGAAAACCATGAAAGCCATCATTCAGAAGATACATGTATAAATTAACAGTTGTCTACACAAAATACTTCGGATCTGTTGGCCAGACGCCATCAGAAATAACCTACTGTAAGGGAAAACAAACCAAATTTCAACAGAGCAATAAATCAGTAAGCACTGGAGGTGGATAGAATATACAGAGTAAGTTGGGGAATGCTGGTCGGCGGCCTATTCTCTATTGCGGGTAACAGGCGCATGGAAGTAATTATGAAAAACAAATTGAAAAGAAATTCGTTCGCTGTTTTTTCTTTTTAATATTTTTTTACCACACGTTTCCTCTAACTAAAATCAGCTGCACTGAACTGTGTTCCGACAAAAATCATATATTAGGCCTGTTCAAAAAGTGGTAGTTATTGCGAACGTTTAGAGTCGAAAATAGGCCTTAGTAGATAAACAGTACATTTAAGTGATGCGAGTCTAAGACATTCCTTTTAGTTTGTGCCAAAACCTGTAACCAATATGGGATACAAATGATATTAAAGAGTCTGTTTAGTTAGTGTATGCAATTTAAGTTGCATTCCTTAAGCTATAAACCATCTAGTGCCCGTATCTACAGTAACTGATCTATCCAATGCTACATATGGAGGTGAAAATTCAGACAATACATGATTTGAAGTACAAAACAGCACGTTTTCTCTTATAAGTGATGTAATAACAAACGAGAAAGTAACTGAGTTTCCTGATTCAGTCAGTCAGTCAGATGCAACGTAGAACTTCGTATGTAAGTACATCAGTTCATGTTACCATACCAAATTAACACAAAGAAGTGATTGTCAATCCAAATCCGATAGTAGTAGAGGTAGTAAAGGTATTAGCAGTAATCGGAGAGGTTAGGATTAGAGACAACAAACCAATAAATTTCAATGAAGAAGTGCATACTAACGAGTTTAACTGATATAAATATAGATTATAAGATAAGCTTGAAACATATTGCTTTTAGATATCAGGAAACATTATGAGTATGCTACCTTAGTCTACAGTCCTACTGCATTCACACTTGGTTAGAACGTTAATTTAAAAAATATTGAACATGCTAACCTTCAACTGGTCATTAGCATAACGAATTGTGACCATCGAGTATTCATTATTGCGAAAATTAGATGAACAACCGGATAATTCAGTTAAAGTACCATCCCTATCATGGTCATACTGTTTAGATCCATCGTTAATCATTGCACTGATATAAGGATGCTCATGACTATGCTCACCATTTTGATTAGCATACGTATCAAAGAAAACCGCCAACCCACGGAACTTATCTCGACTGCCGAAGGCTGGTCCTATAAATAAACGGGTTTCATCAATAAAGGGACTATTCAACAACATACCACTTGAAGGAGGATGTTGAGTATACCAGAAAGCAAATCCATCACCAACCAGAGTTTTTGCACTATGAACATGGAACAAAATAACTGCCTCCCAATCACGAGCATTCAAAGGTTTTGTATTGTAAATACCACCTTGACTACTTTTTACATCAGAAGTTAGGCGGACAAACTGAGGCTCAATAATTGTTGATCCGTAAGGCACCCAGTGAGCTATAAAAAAAATCAAAAGCGGAAGTCGTTTGTGATAATATAATAGGAATAGTGAAACACTTTATTTTTGACGTACAGTAGGTGGTACAAATCGCCGAAAGTATTTTACGCGTTTAAGTAATGTGTGAATAGCAATAAAAGGAATGTAAGTGAATGAAGTCATTTTTACCTTATTGCTTGAAGGTTTGCGCCGAATAATTGAGGGTCTCGTTTTAATTAAGATAACATGAAAATCATCTGAACATTTGAAGATAAAAATCAATGAAATCCAATTAAACCAAGAATATATTGAGTAAGGGATACTACAACATAGACAATCAAGGATGCATTCGATTGTAATATTACGGTAATTTCAGCAATAATGTTCAGATAAACCACAAGATTACATGGAAGACTGATCAGAACTCATTTACTACACTAACAACAGCTTTCGAGACGATAACTTCAATCATAAATTCGTAAAGTATCACTAACACAGAAACTAGGGATTGAGGTGACACAAAGTAGGACTAACGGGTTAAATATTTAGAACAAGGCAAGAAAACTAAGGCTATTGAAATCTACTACCGTAAGCGTTAATCATCAACGAAAACTTTTAAATTATCATAAGCTGGAACAGTATGCCAGCAACTGGTGCGGATCGGAGATAGTATAAAGAAATTTGCCTATTTACTTTTGTTTCGACTTACTTTCTGGTTTTCTTACGAAGAACAAACAGTGAACTACTTATTCGGCAAAATTACAACTTACATTCTAGCCATACAACAGTGACGTTGATCAACTGTAACCACTTAGTAGGGTCGAAATATACATGAGTTGGAATTGCGAAATAGAGTCAAGATATTCACTAGGAACCGACATAACCTATAACCCTAGAATGTTAATCGGCCATATGGTGAGTGGATTCCGCACACAAAATCCAAGAGTTGCAGTCTGATATATGGGTCGTTCACTCGCAAATTACAGTCCCGACAGTTAGTCTACATCAGTTACGATCCCAAGTTTCCAACTTGAATTTACTTACATGCAATAAACAGAGCCCGTTGCTTTATAAGTTTTGCTTTAACTGTGTATACTTTTGAGTAATTAGTTCCAAGATACGTTAGAGACAAATTCTACAACATTGCACAGCTGGTGTTGCGAATTCCGTATGGTAGCAAGTCTTATAATAATGGATGGTGAAATTCCCTTATTTCGACTTATATAACCATATATTCTTAATAGCGAATGACAGTTTAGTTGCGATGGAACATATACATCTGTTTCTAATATTTATATTTTATGCACGTAACTTTTTTGTTTTCTCAATTGTCTAGTTTTTTATGGTCGTCGGTATCTTTGCTGTCTGGCCGCAATTTTTGAAGTGTACATTTTTACACTTACGCGAAATATGAAGTTCCAGCGAGGCTAATCCCATTATATAAATAAACGGTCCTCAGTTTTTTCCTTCTAGTGGCTTTCACTCTCGCTTTATTGCTGCTTTATTCATTTTTCTTCTTCATTCACTCTGAGGCATGGTGATAACCACCAAAGTGCAGGTTCTATTGCCTACTATTTTAGCTTGACAATCGAAATGATGCTAAACACAGTGAAATGATCTAGATACCACTGACATTTGACAATATTAACCGCTAATCCAGATGCAAAATGAGATTCAACAATATGAAGATTGGTTTTTGGAGATAAAAGACAATTTAAGATGACTTACTGCATTTTAAAGGATAAAAATGGTTCAGATCAAACGTTTAACAATTCAATTTGAAACGGGAACAAACTTGGAATTTATACTCAACTTACGGCTTGAATATGGAGGAACGAGAGAATTATCTCTGATATGGTAAGACGAATGTACTATTTTTGAAAATGACAGACAGAGAAGGAGCACCAACATTGCAAGACCCGAATATGTCGCTAAATTAGAAATGCCGCGCGATAAAATATACCTGACTGCTGATTTAGCTTCGTATTACATTCAAATATTGGGTTCCAATATCCAATATCCAATATCTTTTTCACGAGCTAGTGTAAACCAATTTGATTTCTTCAGGCTCGATTCTTCTTCTTTCGGTACGGTTCCAGGTGTTCGGTAATGTCCAATGGATGGAGGTCTAGCCACTCGACTGTCTAATTCTAGTCAGTTGGCAGTTGATTGTGAGTTTGTATGTCTCGGGATTTGAATGAAAACGTTTGTTTCAGGGCAGTAGGGTTTCTGGATACCAGCAGCCGTCACATTACCAGACCGGAGATCAGTTAGTTACAATGTGAAGAGTAATAAGGGTAATACGGATAAAATTCTAATGATAATATGAGTAAAATTTCAGAACTGAGTAATATATAGATGAATTTAGTTTATTAATTGGTTGTGAAGATTGTGAGAGAGGACCGAAGTGTAAGCAAGGAATAGGCGAGATAGATTAATTGAGTGATCTGAGGAGATGGCAGTGATAACAACTAGCACGTCTCAAGATATGCATCATGAACAGCTTGTTCGAGAAGGAGATGATAATCCGTATGTGAGTACGTGATTATCAAGTCTCTTCTTAAAGCTGTCTACTGAGTTGACTGTGGTCACCTCAGCTGGGAGGGAATTCCAAGTTGCGACGACTCGCAGTGAGAAAAAGTGTGCATGAACCTGAGTTTTCGCTCTTTGATGTGCAATCTTTCGAAGATTGCCACAAGAGGAGTGGTGGTGATGCATCGGTAAGATGCTCACATTGGGATGGTTTGGCGTGCTTAATATGTTGTACGTCGTAATCAGAACACCTCTCGTTCTCCTGTAGCTTAGTAAAAATAATCCCAAGAGCTGGAATCTATCGTCATAGGGCTTATTTTTCAACCCTACCACCCATTTGGTTGTTCATCTCTGCACTCGATCCAAGAGATTAATGTCTCTTCTAAGCAGAGGGGGTGCTATGACATTGCTAACCTCCAAGTGTAGGCGCGCGTACGTCTTAAACAGGGTTAAAAATAATTTCGGGGTGATGGCACCAAGCTGTCTGCGCATAAAGTGAAGAGTCGCTTTTGCCTTGACTGCATCCCCTACATACTTTGAACTGGTGTGGAGGCTTTCGGTGGTTATTAAACCAAGATCGCGCTCTAAGGAGACAATAGGGAGCGGACTTCCATTGGGGGTATAGGTCGTTTGCGTCATATGAGGCAGGAAATGCATGACGTGGCACTTCGGTTGGTTGAGTTTTAAACCGTTTTTCACTGCCCATTTCTCAATGGATGTAAGGTCCTTTTGAAGCTCAGTCGAATCCTCTTCGCATCTAATGGACCTCCAGATCTTCGTATCGTCTGCGTAGATCAATGCCGGTGAGCTGACTAAACCTAGCAGGTCGTTAATAAATATTTGGAAGAGAAGTGGGCCTAGGATAGTCCCCTGTGAAACCCCCGATGTGGATACTCGCCAACTCGCGAGCACTCTGTTCACCTTGGTGCGAAACTTTCTATTCTCAAGGTAGTTTCTGAGCCAAGATAAGATTGGGTCAGTGAAGCCCACTTCCACAACCTTTTCGATTAGGCGTACGTGGGGCAGTGTGTCAAAGGCCTTTGCAAAGTCGAGGAATATTACGTAAACCGGTATTTTACGGTCTAAACAGGGTGTCCAACTGTCCCATGCCTTGAGGAGATTAGATGCACACGACCTGCCTTTCCTAAACCCGTGTTGAGCTTCATGGAGTATTTTATTCTTTTCCATGTACTCCCTCATTTGTTCGTCCACTAGCCCTTCCATAACTTTTGATAATATTGGTAGTAGTGCGACTGGACTGTAACAGGCTGGGTCCTTTCTATCTCCTCATTTGAAGATTGGGGAGAGAGTATCTTGTTTTCATCCAGCTGGGAGTTGGTGTGACTCCAGTGAATGCCTGAACAGGTTGCATAACGGTGAACAGAGGACTTCAGCACACTGTTGCAAGACTATAGGGCTAATTTTGTCATAGCCTGGTGACTTACCTAGGCGTAAGGTTTTTAGCTTCCTTAGTACTAGGTTAGGAGTGATACGGATGTTCCCTAAGCCGTCGGCTGGTATTGGGTTCTGACTTTTGAAAAACACAAAAGCTTTCGGTCACTTTTGTACTAGTACCTAATATCTAATATTTTTTTCACGACCTAGGATGAATTAATGACTTCCTTGTACCCGATTCTTGTTCTTTCGGTACGGTTACAGGTGTTTGGTAGTGTCCAATCGATGAGAGGCTTTTGTTTGTGAGTTTGTGTGTTCCGTGATCTGAGTGATTACATTTGTTACAGGAAAGTAGGGTTTCTGGATACCAGCAACTATCAAGTTACCAAGTCAGAGATCAGTTAGTTGCAATGTGGAGAAATAATAAGGAGAAAAGTAAATTGCTAACAAGAATAAGCTTGAAGTTCGTTTGCAAATTAAACAAATGGTGAAGACGTTTTTTAGTGTTTTAGGAATTAAAGGCTGCTGAGGAAGTTTTGACTTTAGGTCCTGCATCATCTAATTCGAAAACTTGAAAGGGTGTCTTCAGAGATATTTCTCATAACTCAATGCGTCACCTAAGTAGGTGGTAGGATAATGCAAAAATAATTGGATTATTTTCATTGCCGGCGTTAGTGTAAACACCGCAAATCTCCCGTGGAGTTGAATTCTCAGATCTCTTAGACGTCATTGATTAGAATTTTAATCCTAATGAAATTTCCAGTGGCAAACACTCTACAAGTAGCCAGCTACATTTGAACGTTATTGCTTTGCTGAATGTTGTGTCCTCTAATTTGATCCATCATATTGTAAAGATGCACGAGATGTGAGAAACAGATGAAGAGAAAAAAGGAAACAAAAAAAAGGAAACAAACTATGTATGGAGAAATTTATAAGCTTATCAAGACAAAAATACAATCAGAATTTATTGAAATTTCGTTTATTTAGCATTAGAGGGTAAACCAATATCCCTGCAGCACATGCAAGTAAGCTGCTTTTACACAACGCAAGAATTCTCACGACTGTCATTTGCATGATTACCCTTGCCCGGATGGTTCGCATATGTCGTCTGCATTGTCATGCAAACAACTCGTACTTCCAATCAGTGCACACACAATCAGTCACTTCTGCACTAGTTCTTAAGGATTAACTCGATCTGTCCAACTAATCCACTACCTACAATACCCAATCGGCCAGGGCGGCAACGCGAGCTTACCCAGCTAGACCTGGCACCCTCTAACGGATTACCGAGCCACCCAGTAGTACATTAATCAGCAGTCGCTCCAGCCGAATGACCTCCAACTACCTTGGGCTGACCCCTCAAGACTCTACGTAAAGCCAAGGATCGACTTTGTCTGAAAAGGTCAGCCAGAACCTACAAACTCCCATGGGGTAGATGTCGCGGAACTGACTGAGCGCAAGCACTCAACCAAGGTGGGTTAATCCCACTACATAAGGTTAGACAAACATCATGTTTGATCAAGTACCCTTTGAGCACAGGATTTCGTAAACCAACTGGAGACCCCTGTTCAGGGGTCCTTGACGCTAGTTGGCACACTACACTGAGGTGCAGTTTTCGGGACACCCACATAGGGTCGGACGTCCGTAGTCCAAACAAATCGTCTAGGGCCACTTTCAAGAAAGATGAAAAGCTACGTCCCTTTCAAGGTATTTACTACCACCAGAATGATAGAGGACAAGTACTCGAACAATTATTTCAATTTACCTACGTTAAATGGTCTGGACTCGGACCTACAGGCATTCAGTTCTAATCCCCTAGAATGGCTAGTTAGCATCAACACCCTTGTGACTATGAACACGTTCTGTTACTCTGGACTATGCTAGTCACTGCATCCTAAGCTTCCGGAACGGCTTTTGGCCGCAACACTGCAAATAACGCCATGTTGTCTAGAAGGATCCCCAAGAGGCGGCCACCACCACAACCCCCAAAAGGCTCCAAATACGCATGTCATCGAATATACCCGAACACACTATACTTGGATACATACATGGTGCAATATAGCAAAAGCGGCAACCTAACAAGATGCAAAGGAGCCAAACACTCCTGAAATAACTGTCCAGTGGTTTCCGGCTCTCAACAATTATCTGACTAAGACCGGTCTTTAACACAAACTACAAAATTCAATAATTTTCAAAAACCATTGTATTCATTCTGTTTTAAGCAACATGGGTGTGCGATGGAAGAGTCAGGTCATCTGAAAAGTCCAGAAAATGTCAAACTGCATCCTAACTGCCCATCGGATACTGTGATTCCCTCCAGATGTTGACGTCTTCATAATCCAATAGATCACGAGTAGAAAGTGAAAGGACGAGAGTTAGCAACCTTGCCTGACACCGGTCTTCACCTCGAACGATTCTGTCAGCTGTCATCCGTGCACGGTTTTGTAGTTAAATCCATCATAAGTGTAGAATCTTTTTTGAATGTTTTGTTTTTTGGAAAATCCCTCCATGTATATATTTGTGTTATGATATGACTGACTCTTTCTGTTGACATTTTGGTACTCTATTTGATTCCATTTTTAGATTTTATCATTGTATATTGTTATTATTATTATTACTTTATCTTGTACTTATATTGAAGTCTTTATGTTGGCTTCTGAACTGTACATATGTTGTTTTAGTTTGATATTTAATATGGCTACAGCCATATTTGGATTTGATACCTCAACATTACGGACTGGAAGCACTTATTCTTCCAGAAACGGATACCCACCGCGGTAAGTTGGATTTGGAAGGTGTAATATTGTTGGGTAATTGTCTCTATTTCCATTTTATATTAAACAAAGACCGTTTTCTGGCAGAATTATTGTGTTTTGGTATCGGATCTGGGACAGCGCGTACCAACCTGCACCTGTTGGAGCCGGAGTGAACTGCTAGGGTGAAAAATTCATTTATAATAAGTATTCCAGATTATGTTGACTATCTTCACATAGTGTCGATGAAGCCTCGTAGTCAGTGAATTTGATTCAGTGTACAGAACTTGAGCTCCATTCATTATGGAAAAGAAAGCTAAAGTTCTATATAATCCTTTACTTTAAACTCAT